AAGAATGGTATTTTGTTTCTGGTGCATTGATAAATGCCTTTGATAGTGAAGGAGATTAATTCTTATAGAAAAGACTATCAAGAATTTTATGTATACTGAGCGCTATGCTAGTATAGCACTGGTCTGCCTATTTGCTATATAAAGGTAACTCATGGTTGCTGTGATGCTAAACATTGTGACACTGTTGTGTCAAATGCAATAATAGTTACCCATGGTGGACAGTGTTTGGTGGAGCTCCCCGATTAAAACAAGCTTGGAAGTAGGAGTGGCATCCACTTCTGAAACAGCTTGCCTCTAGAAACTCTATGACCTTGGAGAAACAATGAAAGTTATACAAGTGTTCAGGTTTTTCATTAGTAGGGTCACTATGAGTAGTCTATGATGCAACTGTACCAAACAACAACGTAGAGAGAGCTCTCTTGGCTAGTGGATAGAAAGTTATGCTACCAAGCCAAAGGTTGGTGATTTTAACCTGTGGCCCTCAGGCCTGGCTTTAATTAGTTTTGGTCAAACATTCTTCTAAGTGCTGTAGCCCTGGTCTGTCCATTTGCTGTACAGAAGTAACTGGTGGTTGCTGTGATGCTAAACACTGTGACACTTTGTGTCAAATGTGATAACAGTTACCCATGGTACACAGTGTTTGGTGGAGCTCTCCAATTAAAACAAGCTTGAAAGCAGGAGTAGCATCTACTTCTGAAATAGCTTGCCTCTAGAAACTCTTAAGAACTTGGAGAAACTATGAAAGTTATACAAGTGTTCAGGTCTTTCGTTCATAGCATCACTATGAGTTGTCTACAACTCAACGGCACCTAACAACAAAAAGAGCAAGCACTGTGCTACAACATACATCAGATGCATGGCATGACCTCTTTCACTTTTTCATTCCTTCACTAATTGTGTATTAACTGAGCGTTCTATTCCATGTTAGGTACTATTCGGTGCTTGATTTACATTAATGAACTATCAAGTGATCTTGGTGGTCCAGAAGTTAAGGATTCACCTGTTAGCTGCAAGGCCAGCTAGTTAGACTGTCAACTAGGCAGTAGGAGAAAAGACATGAGGAGTTGCCCCAGTAGAGATTACAGGAAACACAATTGGTCAACTCTGCTGTATCCAATAGGGTTGCTATGCTGACACACAACAGCAGAAAACAAATCAGACACACATTCTTTTTTTCATCACAGCAGAAAACAAATCAGACACACATTCTTTTTTTCATCTTGGGAAGTAGCAGTGAGGGTACTGTATGTTACACATGTAGTTACACTTTCAGGGTGAAAATTCAAACTATTTAAATTATTGTCTCTAAATAGAAGAATGTGTACCTCCTACGCTGCTGAAATAGAATTTTAGTTCATCTAGGTCACCACTGGGCCAATTGGCAGCATCAGGATGGATGGTAAAGAGACTGAGATTGTTCACCGCTTCAGTTTGCTTTGCTCCACAGTCAACACTCTTGGCACCAGCAGCCAGGAAATGAGAAGACATATTGCCATGGGAAAGTCTGCTATTAGAGACCTCTCCAAAGTACTGAAGAGCAATGGTGTCTCTTTGGAGACTAAGGTGCATCTGATACAGGCCATGGTCTTTGCTATCACTTGTTATGCATCAGAGAGTTGGACAATGACTAAGGAGGATAGAAAGAGAATTGATGCCTTTGAGCTGTGGTGCTGGAGTATTGAGGGTACCATGGACTGCTAGGAAAACAAACAGATTCATCCTGGAAAGGGTCAAACCGGGCTGCTCCTTGGAGGCAAGGATTCTAAGGCTCCGTCTAACATACTTTGCACATG